CTGGATGTCAGGGTCCTGAGATCAAGGGGCCGAACCAGAATCAAGAGGTGGCTGCTTCACTGACCGTGCCCCCAGCGTCTCACTTCCATCTTGCTTCAGATAGAGGCTTCAGGGGGATTGGGAAGAGCGCATGTGGAGTGGTACTCACTATAGCCTTTATGGGGTGGCTGAGTTGTGGCAGCTAAACTCTTACTGAATTAGTTGATCCCTTTTGTGGTAGGGTCCCGTCTAGCGGGATTCCTCTCAGCTCAGACCATTCCTTGTGTGTTACTATTCTGCCTGCCTAGGTTGACCCAGGTACCTGGAAAAAGTAGAACAATCCCGTCTTCAACCTCACCCTCACTGTCATTCTGAGGAGAGTTAATGGCTCCAATTATGAGTGCTTCCTGATTCTTCTGGGGCCTACTTTCTCCTGTAACCCCCTTTCTCCAGGTTAAGAATTGGTGGCATTCTTCAGAACTCTCATTTTATACCTCCTTTGCTTTCTCTCACTTAGAATTGTATCCCATTTCATTGTTCTTCGGTTTCGTCTTGGGTCTTACTGTACCTGGTATATAGTCTCCAACATTCATAGAATGGGTGGTTTCTATATTGTATTAAAACACAAATTTCCCTCTTTGTATTTGTTTGGGTTTTAGAGAGAAGAGTTATGTAAACAAGTAAGTGCGCCCTCTCACAGAAGTAGTTCTACCCAAGTAGGAGTGAGCCAGTCAGAATCTTACTTTTGGGGTATATATGGAAAAAAAAAAATCAGGCAGGCAGCAGCTGGTATGTCCTGAGAAATTCTGTGATAGAGGCCAAAATTATGACAACATTCATAAGGTTTCTAAGAAAATGTATGAAGAGTTGGAGGATAAGGCCACCAACTGGTGGAGGGAGAAGTGGGTCTACAGAAACAGACCCACATAAAGCAGGGGAGTCTTATCAGCGGAGGGCACTGAGTGACCCACGAACCCCACTGTTCCTCCAGTCTCAGAGGCCTGGTCACATGCCGAGTCCCAGTCTTAGATTTCTACGAGATGCCATCTTGTCTTCTTCCTTGTGCCACTCTAGGTTGGTGACTGCATCTTAAAATCAAGAGAGCCTAAGGAAACTAGATGCTTTTAATTTTACTCTGGGAAGGAGGATTCCAGGCCACCCATGCATGTGGTGGGGGGAGGTGAGTAGATCGTGGTTTTGAGAAAAATGAGGAATTGCAGTCATTATAAAGTGAGAGAAAAAACTGACAAGGAACAATTGCTGAGTAGCATGGGGAGTCCAGCTGTGGTTGGGAACCATGAATTTCTAGTAGTAGTATTCTGTGTGGTGGTTGGATTTTCTCCAGGAATAGGACTGTAGGAACCAACAAGCTGGGTAGCTGGAAGGAAGGATCATGGATTAGGTGGGACGAGGGTGCGGAGTCTGGGCTGGGTGGGGCTGGTGCTCTATCACGGGTCTAGTCTGAACAAAGTAGAAATGAAAGGGTGGGGATTCTGATGGAGAAAACAGATAGTGGTCAGGGATTAGAGGGCTTGCTGAAATAGAGGGCTTGCTGAAACGGAAGACTTAAGTAGTAATGAGAGGAGGGCACGGGTAAGATCCAGGAGGTGAGGAAGTTGCAAAGGCATATGGGATATGTAAGATTGAAGGAAGTGGAAGGGCTTTCGATTGGGCCCATCCTCAGTGTGGCCCTGTAAGAACTGTTGATTTTCGGGGCGCCTGGGTGGCTCAGTGGGTTAAAGCCTCTGCCTTCTGCTCAGGTCGTGATCCCAGGGTCCTGGGATCGAGCCCCACATCGGGCTCTCTGCTCAGCGGGGAGCCTGCTTCCCTTCCTCTCTCTCTGCCTGCCTTTCTGCCTGCTTGTGATCTCTGTCTGTCAAATAAATAAATAAAATCTTAAG